CCCTGCCAGGTAATGTTTGACTTCTGCCAGTGAGTGCAGTATATCAGAGGTGGTAGCCTGCTGTGACAGGACTGACCAGTCACTGGCGCTCTGTGGGCTCGGGCAGTTCGCGCTCTCCTGACCGCCGCCATCTTTAGGCGCTTGCGGCCTAGGTGTGGTTAGGAGATCGGCTACAGAAGGGGTGCTCTCCCGCGGCTTCTTACCGGTTTTTTTATACTGTGCCATCTCCGGTTCTCCCCCTCTCTCTCGCCGGGTGAGTTGCAGAGGCTGTGGTCGGATGTGTGCTTCTGGCTGTGTGTTGCGGACCGTTCCGGGTGCAGAGCTCTCTGCCTAAGCGGCCATCTCGTTCGGCGGTCGAGCCACGCCCCTCACATTTTTATTTTTTAAGTTTAATCCCCCCAGCCTCCTTACCTTTTGGAGTGCTGGGGGAATCCCTGGGGTCCAGTGGTGCTGCTGCTGCTGGGCTCCTGGGCGGCAGGTCACTGGGTGGGCGGGCTGTCTGGGCAGGCGGGCGTGCGAGGGAGCACTTTCCCCTGAGTGCTTCCTCTTCAGCTCCCTCGCGCGCCGCTTAAGGATGCCAGCGCCGGAAGATGACGTCATCTTCCGGCTCCGGTATCAGTGCGGTGCGCAAGGGAGCTGAAGAGGAAGCACTGAGTGCTCCCTCGCGCGCCCGCCTGCCCGACCGGCCACCCGCCTGCCGGGTGACAGCAGGGCCAGCCTCGGGGGGCCCTGAGGTGGCCGCCTCCTGGGCCCCCCAGGAGAAGAGGCTGGCCCTGTGGGTACATACCGGGTCGCAGGGGCAGCCGGGCCCCCTGGTGGGCCGGGCCCGGTCGCAGCCGCGACCCCTGCGACCCTGGTATGTACGCCACTGTCCATACAGATGTTTAAACTACAATTGGATAAATACTTGCAAAAACATACAGGGATATAATTTCTAATTAGTGGGGTAATAGCTGCTTGATCCAAGGAGACATCTGAGCCATTCTGGGGTCAAGAAGGAATTTTTTCCTAGTTTGTTGCAAAATTGGAAGCGCTTCAAACTAGGTTTTTTTGCCTTCTTTTGGATCAACAGCAAAAACAAATGTGAGGAAGGCTGAACTTGATGGACGCAAGTCTCTTTTCAGCTATGTAACTATGTATCTTTTTGGTTATGAATAAATGTTAAAGGGACACTATACTAACCAAAACAACTTTTGCTTAATGAAGCAGTTTTTGTGTATAGATGAAGCCCCTGAAGTTTCACTGTTCAATTATCTGCCATTAGGGAGTTATATCACTTTTGTTTCTGTTAACCTCTTAAGGATCAAACTTCTGGAATAAAAGGGAATCATGATATGTCACACATGTCATGTGTCCTTAAGGGGTTAATGTAGCCCTAGCCACGCCTCCCCTAACTGTGACTGACCCATGGAAAAATAGTTTCACTATGAATCAGATGTAACGTCTATGATAGCATACAAATATATTCAGGACCAATACCCATTGTCTGGAAATCTATTCATAAACAGGATTGTGCCTAGGACACAAGGTCACACATTAAAACTGGAAGAAATGAGATTTAGTCCGGAGTAAAGAAAACTGTTTTTTTACAGCAAGGATATAAAAATTTTCTGCCTAAAGAAGTGGTTTCATCAGAGTCTATACAGATGTTTAAACACTGGACTAATACTTGCAAAAACATAATATTCAGGGATATAATTTTTAACATGTGGGGTAATCGAAGGGGAGGGTCGGAGGGGACTTGAGGGAGGCATAATTGGGAGCAAGAGAACGAATTAGGTGACAGAGCTGTTTTAGCTCCAGATAATACTTGTTAACGAAAGATGGGTGATCACACCATTCTCCATCATTCTGCACAGAAAGGGTTACCAGGCAATGTCTAATTCTGAGTGAGAAAAGGGGTCACTGTCAGTATTTTAGAAAAGAGACAGAGCGCTTGCCAACTCCCAGTCCCATAGGAAAGAGCACAGGATATTTTAGGGAGTTCTTTTCTAGCCGAAGTTTTATTCTTTTTTTAGGTTTAGCTTCCAGAGGAAATTATATGCTAACACTTTCAACAGATGCCTCTCTGTGCAAAGTGTTCTTGTGTCAAAAATATATCTCCAGGCCGGGAACATTTCAGGGTACTAAGCAGTTTTGTTTTATTTTCAACCAATCAGCTGAGATCTGTTACATAAGAAATAAAAGGCAGCAATGGACCAGTTTATCCGACCTGGATTTTTTGGCAGAATTTTTAACTCTTGGTAGGAGTGAGAGGTTTAATTTTTTTAAGTGGACAATACATTATCAATTCTACAGAGATCATCCTTTAAAAGTAACATTTACTATATATGCATTTTAATTTTTTTTAAATTCTACATTATATCTTGTGAAATTTTTTTAAATCTAAATGCTGTTGGCACGCAAGATAATAATGGGTTAAATCGGTCACTGCTGAAAGTCTGCTATCGCAGCTTGAGACCCATGGGGACAGAAACTAATATCCTGACTGATTGCGTTCATACACAGACTAGCTGATATCAGGAGAGATCTCAGTCATATTGTACCACACTACAGAATACGTTGTTGCTATATAAATAATATTTATAGTGATATTTTATGAATAACACAGGACAGGCAATAGATCATGATAAATCATAAATAAAATGGATGATTATTAAGGGATATGTCATGTTCCCCGGCTTATTTGATAAATAGGATCACTAATCCTGTAGGCGGAGCCTGTAGATGTGGGAGGGGTTACCAGGCCTATAAATACACAGTACACCCCTTACTCAAGGCCGATACTGCTTGGTTCAGCCCACCCACCACTTCCTTTGTCAAGCCATTCAATTTTGACACGCCCTCTTTTTACAGGGCTATCCGAACGTTGGTTTCGGCACACCACAACCGACTCACACCAGCACTTCTATAACTCGGCTTATTGTCCCTGACCACACCAATATGTATCTTTACAAAAGAGATGTACTGTAGAATGCACTCAGGTATTCATTTAAAGGGATAAGATGAGGTAAAGATAGCAATCGATTTGGTGAAAGACTGCCTAAGATGAATACAGTGGGAAGTAAATTGTACAACTTGAGTTCCTTGTAACTGGTGATGTTGGAACAGAAGCAGTCTGTGGTATATCTGCCCAATGATGGTCCTTGTTGTACATCCGATGGGTGTTTGGGAATAATAATATCTTGGCAAATTGTATTATAATTCAATGTCGAGTAAATAGTCCGGATCACAACCTGCAATTCATTCAATCTGAAGGAAGTGACGATAAGTGGAAGATGGTTGAAAGTACATTTCGTATTGGCACCAAAGATCAGTCCAGGGGCAGGGCTGAATGGGGGCCATCTACCTGGGCTCTGGGCCTGGGCTGCTGGAAAGGGTCAAAAAGACACCAAAGTAGGATTCTTTGATAGAATTGTATGGAGAATAACCCCAGCTCCAGTTTGATACCAGCAAGTAACTGATTGCATACCAGGAGAACAGATACCGACATTCCCGGCCTACTTACCACTTTAAACCTTGCCCATTCCACTCATAAGAGACCCCGGTATTGAGCTGATACTAAGCAAGAAATACATACCTAAATGGAGAATCCCGCTGGCTCAGGATGCATCTCTTCTTCCCCCTCTTGGCCTGTAGGGGTTATCCTGGCCTCATGGTGACAACTTGCACCGACATGGGAGTTTCCGCATAGGTTCCACACTGCTTACCTGTACTTTAAAAGGCTGCTCGAAATGTAACCCACTAGCAGACCGGAACGGAAAGACGAGACATGGGGGATATGAGAGAAACATTTAAATACATAAAGGGAGTCAACACAGTAAAGGAGGAGACTATATTTAAAAAGAAGAAAAACTGCCACAACAAGAGGACATAGTCTTAGAGGGACAAAGGTTTAAAAATAATATCAGGAAGTATTACTTTACTGAGAGGGTAGTGGATGCATGGAATAGCCTTCCAGCTGAAGTGGTAGAGGTTAACACAGTAAAGGAGTTTAAGCATGCGTGGGATAGGCATAAGGCTATCCTAACTATAAGATAAGGCTAGGGACTAATGAAAGTATTTAGAAAATTGGGCAGACTAGATGGGCCGAATGGCTCTTATCTGCCGTCACATTCTATGTTTCTATATTTGTGTGTATAGTCTAGACTCTCTCTGCATGTGAAAGTATTTTAAGGAATTTGCCGTCCCTCGAGCGTAGATAACCAGTATATCAATTTCACTAATCACCTTGTAGGATATATGCAGTTACTGGGTAATTCAGAGAGGTACCAATGCCCGTGTTATTGGAGGTATTGGTGACGTCTCATTTACAAGGCTCAATGCAGGCCAAAATGATCGTCTAGAGCTGCAGTATATCTGTTGTAGAAGGTATTTGCTGACATTGCAATATCGGCTGCTGTTTTGGGTGAAATTTGTCTCTCTCCATTAACATGTGAACTGAAAACATGTATGAGAGCTGATCAGGATAACTCAATGTCAAGCTATTATTATGTCAGCGCTATGGAATTTGTTGGCGCTATATAAATAATAAAATAATAATAATTAGTTCTTATATTTTCTGTTTCTAAATTCCAATAGAGCTTGAGGCATTGACTTTCTAAGGCCAGATCTATCATCAGATGCAATTGCGACTCTGGATAAAGTGATTCCAATGTGTTTTTTGTGTCCGAGCAGAGCGAGACACATTGTAGCACCACAGCTCTTATTAATTTTGCTATTGGTGTATAATGGGAGTAAGAGAGCAACAATTTTCTTTCACTTGTGATAAACTGCAGTACCCACAATCTGCCACTGGATGGCTCTTTACTTCTTTAATGTAACCAGCTTCTACACAAACGTTTGTGCTACTTTAGAAGTTTATGAGCGTACTGAATTCAGCCACTTGAGGGCGCACTAACACCTGGTTAAATGTGTATGTTAGTAAATCGAGGAATTAAAGTTGGAGGCCAATTTATTCATTCACAATAAAAAAGATGACAGGATTTATGCAATAAACACTCAATTGTAAATTGGAAACGAAATTGTAAGATTGCCAAATATAGCTGACATGGAGAAATGTTTCCAATTTAACTACTTTTGGCTTAAAATTTGATATTCACTTTGAATTCTTGACAATTATTATTACTTTATTATTTATATAACGCCAGTAAATTCCGTAGCGCTGTACAATGGGACTCACACTTTAGCAAAAAATCCTGAATTGTATTATCCTGAATTTCCTCCATGCAATAATTTCAGAAAAAATGATTCACATTGATAGGAGGGGTTCTGGAACCGGTACTGGGTGGGAGGTCTGGAACCGGTACTAGGTGGGGGGGTATGGAACCGGTACTGTGTGGGAGGTCTGGAACCGGTACTGGGTGGGGGGTATGGAACCGGTACTGGGTGGGAGGTCTGGAACCGGTACTGGGTGGGAGGTCTGGAACCGGTACTGGGTGAGAGGTATGGAACTGGTACTGGGTGGGAGGTATGGAGCTGGAATGGGGTAGGTGGAGCTTTTGAGGGGCATTGCAAATAATGCAATTCGTGTCAATGGTGATGCCTGTAATGGTGGGCCCGCTCACTCGCTGACCGCTTCCCAGCTTGTCCTTAGGCTTCAGTACCATATGGGGAGCGCTGCCAAAGCCCCCTGCAATATCTTAGAGCCCGCTGCACCTAATGAGGATCTAATGAGGGGCTCACCCTGCGCTACCCAGTGACTGATTGAAGCAGCACGGCTGGACAGGACTGCGTGAATTTCTTGAGTTGCGTTTTCTACTTCAATTTCTGATAATTCCTGATTTATTGAATCACTGCCTTCTGAGCTGACTCGTGGCTTGCCAGCCAAAGCTAAGCATGTACAGAGAGTCTCACAAACACAAGGGGCAGTACTGGTCACCGATGAACTTGCTGCCTGTCTGAGCATTCAATGGAAAAAGCACTTTCAGAAGACCTTTCTATGGTACCAGAATGGTGGGACATGGTCTCATTTTGTTACTGTCCACTGGATCCAAGGCTGGAGGGAAGTTTAAAACGCAGAGTTGCAACAGGTTGAAAATACATTTGCAAACTTGGAGCCCATATATCCAAGTTGGAATATAAGTTGGCTGAGCTGGACTGGATTGCTTTTATTGGCTGACTGTGCGGTGCTCAGTGGCTGAGAGCATTAGTTAAACTTGCCCCCCTCCCACCCCCCCCAACACTCTCCTGGGCCTCGTATTAAGCCCGTGAACTCGAAAAAAGTACCTATTCGACTTTTTCTTTTTTTGGGTTCTGTTAATTTGTCCCATTCTCTGCGTGTTGGGGTTACAGAATCCTGACAAACGCTTTATTCACTAAAGTCTGAATCGCTGGGAAATTAACAGGAATTCTAAGTAATATTTAAAATTTAGACCAATAGATAATTGGATAACAAGCGGAACCGTGGCGAGAACGACACTGGGACACGTCCTATAATATCATTCTTTTCTCTTGCAGCAGTCGAATCATTTCAGCATTATACCACGGACGCGATAAAATGGGCTCCTGTTAACCCATTCAAACGCCCTTAAAAGAAAGAAAAACAATCGACAGCTAAGTCATTCGTCAACAGAATCCTCTAGTGGTGGGCAAACGGGAGATCCCCAGATGTTCACAATGCTTTGCCATCTAAAGTCTGAGAAAGCATCGTGCCATTTCTAGTTCTACAATGTCTGAGAATCCACCACTTGCGCAACCCTGCTCTAGGAAGCTGTGTGTGGAAAGTTGTTGGGTTTGTTTTGAGTAACTATATCACACCAGCAATGTAGATACGAATTGCTCCCGATCAGCATCTTGTAATGTCTGTCCTGTTGTTGCTGTATAACAGCTCAGGCTGGAATTGTGAGTCATTTCGTTTCGGTTTGATTGTAATGCTTAGATATTACATAATGGCAAAGTTATTTATATACTTCTGCAATATGAGTATATTATTCATGTTTTCATCACTTTGTGTGTGTGTTTGTGCTTTTGAGGATTGTTACACAACTAGTGAGGTTAAAGGGACACTATAGGCAGCCAGACCACATTATCACATTAAAGTCTGGGGGCAATGCCCCTGTCAGTTTAACCCTGATAACTGCAATAATTACATTGCAGGGTTAACTCCACCTCTAGTGGCTGTCTACTACCTAGACAGCCACTAGAGGTGCTTTCGGGTCGTCAGGCGACTTTTGGTCGCCAAAACTGACGCTGGACGTCCTCACGCTCTGCATGAGGACATCCAGCGTCGGCCAAAACCCCATAAGAAAACATGGATTCAATGCCTGCGTATAAGGGAAGTCCTAATGCGACCGCTCTGCTCACAGCGAATGTGCTTTAGGTCCCTGATGTTGGCTGACGTCGAGGACGGAGGAGCAGAGGCGGAGCCCGACCCAGCATCGACGGACATCGGTGCTGTGTTCAGGTAAGTGACAGAAGGGGTTTTAACCCTTTCTGCGATACAGGGGAGGGGGAGGAGCGAGGGAGGGAGGCACTATAAGGTATTCTAGCGCCATAAATAGAACTTTGTATTCCCAGCACTATAGTTTCCTTTTAACCAAATAACCGACCTGGTAGACGTTTCTATTGTTGCTGCGGGAGTTACCACCCAGATATGGGATGCTGAAGGAGATTTATCAAAGTGTCTATTCTAAAAAGCGGAGCAAAAATGTAGAAGGGGAGGAGTCACCAACAGAATGTACCTGCTGGTTCCACTGGTTTCTATGGTGTTTGTTGTGATTTAGTTAATTTCCAAATTTCGGAAGCCTATTATTCCTTATGGGGAATGAATTAAGGAGACAGTCGCAAATTACTGTTAAACTGTTTAGTAGATAACTCCCTAATATGCCATCCTTACGTCTGATTACCATAACAACATCAATGACAAAATAATGGAGCCATCTGCTAAACAGTGCCCTCATTTGGTATCCTTAAATATAGCAATATCATGTAAGGATACCAATTTAGGGAGTTATCTACTAAACTGCTAAATGTTTAAAATTAATAAAAGCCCTTTAAAAAAAAATAAAAATTGCTCTTTCATTTGTTAAGTAGAAAACTCCCTATTCCGGTATCCTTACCAAAACGGATGGATCAGAAATGACTTGTTTCAATTTGTTTCGAATTTGTCTCATTTCTCTTTATTTTGACATTTTGTATGCTTTCAAATTGAAAAATTCTGACAAAATTTGATTAAAATCAAAACAAGTTGCACATTTCTATAAATCTGGCCAACTGTGTGTGTGAGGGGAGAGGGGGGATAATAGCACTTTCTAGTGCAGGGGTAGGCAACCTTTGAACTACATCTCCCCTGAGTCTTTGCCAGCATTATAGGTGCAAGAGCATTATGGGTCATGAAGTCCACAACATGTGAAGTGCTGAAGGTTGCCTACACCGGCTTTAGAGATTGTGTGATGTTGTTTATTTCCACCTATTTCTCCCCTTTGCTTTTTCCACTTTTCATTTAGCTCCTGTCTTCCTCTCTCTGTTTCTTCTGTTGTGTCTGGTTTCAGCGACTCTTGTTTTTTTCCCCCTATTGATGTTTTGTTTATCTTGTGTGCTCTCAATGTTCAATTTATGTATTATCTTATATTAATATATTGTTCAATCAGGAACCTTTTTTCAAATTTTTCTTTTTTGTGACACAATTTGAAATTGGCCAAATTAGTTCTCCCCTACCCCCCGCCCTTCTGGTCATAGAAACAGAGATAAGAAAAAGATTGAACTTGAGACGGAATGTTCCATTTGACCTTCGTACCTACAACTGTCCTAAAAACAGTCCGACATGTAATCCCGCCACTGGCAGACGGGGAAATCCTTGATCTTCGTCACTAAACCTGCCGTCTCAACGTGTTTGCTCTCTAGGTGTGGGTGTACATTGTTCTAAAAATAGAAAGTGTTGATAATTCCAGGAAATACTCTGCACGTCCCGTCCTCATTGATGCCAGGTGTGGGATGTCTTTTAGCATTGTAGTGAGAACACCGAAACCTTTGTATTGTCTAATTTGCATATATTTAAATATTCCAATCAGAGATGTTTACTGGAAACAGAAGGGCCACGGTACAAGATTGAATAAAGGGGTCCCTCCTTCACAGCCCCCCGCCTCCCCCACCACTCATTCTTGTCAGGAGAATCTAACAGGTTTAGGCACAGTGGGGTGGGAGGGAAGGTCAGTGCTGTGGGGAATATGATGGTGGATCAAGGAGAGGGACATTGAGAATATGATGGGCGGGTGGGAGAAAGGCTTGGTAGAGAATATGATGTTGGGCTGTGTGGGATAGAGGAAAGGTCCTGTGGGTAATTTGATGGTGGGTGGGATAGAGGAAAGGTCCTGTGGGTAATTTGATGGTGGGTGGGATAGGGGAAAGGTCCTGTGGGTAATTTGATGGTGGGTGGGATAGAGGAAAGGCCCTGTGGGTAATTTGATGGTGGGTGGGATAGAGGAAAGGCCCTGTTGGTAATTTGATGGTGGGTGGGATAGAGGAGAGGTCCTGTGGGTAATTTGATGGCGGGTGGGATAGAGGAAAGGTCCTGTGGGTAATTTGATGGCGGGTGGGATAGAGGAAAGGTCCTGTGGGTAATTTGATGGTGGGTGGGATAGGGGAAAGGTCCTGTAGGTAATTTTATGGTGGGTGGGATAGAGGAAAGGTCCTGTGGGTTATTTTATGGTGGATGGGATAGAGGAAAGGTCCTGTGGGTAATTTGATGGTGGCTGGGATAGGGGAATGGTCCTGTGGGTAATTTTATGGTGGGTGGGATAGAGAAAAGGCCCTGTGGGTAATTTGATGGTGGGGGGGGAGGGAGGCACTGTGTGAAATACAAAAGTGTAGGACAGAAAGGGAAACCCCACTGTAGCACTGTGTAACCACAAAATCCTAAACCCCTCCTCCATCTTTCTTTCATAACCCTGCTTGACCTCCTTCTCTGTGTGTGTAACGGAAGCAGATGGGGTCAAAGCACATTGCAGCCAAGAGCAACTGCCCTGCAATTCTCACCTTCCTTTCCAACTTTGCAAGGGCCAGTGCCAGCCACCAGCCTGCCCAAGACAGGGGCTGTACAAGGATCCTACTGCCCGTGCCCACCAAGATTAGGGGCCAGCAATGATGTCACAGATGTGGCCAGTGCCACAGACAAGCCATCCAATGCCCACCAAGACCAAGGGACAGCTGGACAGACCCAGCCAACCATCACCCATTGAGCCCGGGGCCTGGTGCCAACAAAGACAACTGGATAGCCACTTAAACCTGCATAAGTCATCGAGTGTGTCTGCATGGATCAGTGTGAGTGTGTCTGCATGGGTCAGGGAGTGTGTCTTCATGGATCAGTGTGAGTGTGTCTGCAAGGGTTAGTGTGTGTCTGTATTGATCAGTGTGTGTGTCTGCATGGGTCAGTGTGAGAATGTCTGCATGGGTCAGTGGGAGTGTGTTTGTATTGATCAGTGTATGTCTGCATGGATCAGTGTGTGTGTCTGCTTTGGTCAGTGTGTGTTTCTGCATGGGTCAGTGAGTGTGTCTGCTTGGGCCAGAGAGTGTTTCTGCATGGGTCAGTGTGAGTGTGTCTGCAGGGGTCATTGTGAGTGTGTCTGCACTGGTCAATGTGAGTGTGTCTGCAAATGACAAGTCTTGTGGGTGTTCCCGGTATGCAGTGGTTAGTACCTACCAAAAGTAGTGCAAAGAAGGACAACTGGGGAACCAGCATCAGGTGTGCCCACCAAAGTATGTGGAGTGCAAAGGCTAGCCTGTCTGGTCCGGTCACACAGAAGAGCTACTGTAACTCAAATTGCTGAAAAACCTAATGATGGCCATAATAGAAAGGTGTTAGAACATACAGTGCATCGCAGCTTGCTGTGTATAGGACTGTGTAGCCGCAGACCGGTCAAAGTGTCTACGATGATCCCTGTCCACCACCAAAAGCACCTTCAATGGGAATGTGAGCATCAGAACTGGACCATGGAAATCACGTTTTCTTTTAGATCAGGTGGATGGTGAATGTGTGTGTTTACATGGAGAAGAGATGGCAGCAGGATGCACTATGGGGAGAAGGATAGTCGATGGAGGA